ACTACGACGCTATGACCTTTGTTTGTCCTGTTTTTACGTTCGATTTCACGCATAACGCGTGATTCTCGCAGTGTACGAAAAATGGTCTATTCTGAAGTATGGGAAACCTTTGAGATTTTTAAACAATTCAAGTTCATTTAAAATTTCTAGTCTTTCCACTGTGTATTACTCATTTGCCTTACGCCTTGAATGAATCATTCAACAGATCTTCAAATCACAAACAAGTTATCTTTGAGCTCGTTTAAAAATTCTGAAGTTTGATGATATCTTTCGCTTTCATGCAGAAATTACAGTATTTTTAAGTAAAATCATATTTATCAAAGTTATTGTTCATACACGAGTAATTTCTATCAGCTTTTTTTAGTCATAATTCAAGACAAATAAAAGGCAAAAATATAGGGAATTTAGCAAATTATCTTTTTCTGTAATATTCTTGTGTAATCGGTAATTATGAAAATGAGTTATGGGTGCATAGGGAATACATTTCGTTATGAATTATTTTTAAAATAAATTTCGGAATTATCTTGTCAAAATCAGTTTTTTCAATGTTTTTTTTCTCCCAAACAAACGAACGAATTTCACAAAATGTCGAAAATGTCGAAATCTTTATCGCAGTGTTAAATTTTCTCGATCCGAACGCTAAGATTACGTAGCACAACGAGATCTCGGCGGCCATATTTGAATGGTGCGATCTGTATGATGCAAATGAATTTGCATCTCGTTCGAATTACTAAATGCTAATAACAATCTTATTTTTTCAGAATACGGACTTGCTACAGTTTTGGGGATCCCCACTACTTCACCTTCGACAAGAAATTCTTCAACTTCATGGGCGCATGTACGTATACTTTGGTGAAAAACTGTACAGACTTCGGTCCAGCGTATCTGGTTGAGACCATGAACGAAGGTGAAATAAAGCACGGCGAGCAAGTGTCATCGACTAAAGAAGTCTACGTTACAGTCTATGGGAATGTGAGTTTTAATTGCAAATTGCTTTTTCAAGACACGAAAATTGATCTGGTTGTCATGGCTACCACATATGTAAACTTGTTGCTCAAGACAACCCTGAAAATTAATGACACTTATATTAACCATATCACATTTTTGCTGATAAAACTAAAGTTTGTAACACTTATTTTTGTGAAAAAAAGCATAACATGACCTGGTTACTTTTCGTTATTTCGTGGATCCTCTCCATAGTCCGGAAATGTAGCCAAACATTTTGCACATTTACCATGTGCAATGGGGCTCGTCGAACTTTGGTTGCTATGGCAATTATTCGTCGATACGGCTCATGAGTGTTACTCGTCGTACTGTTAACAATGAGTGTTGGCAAGTACTCACATATTGGCTGTAATGGCTAATATTTGCGAAATCATTTGTTTTAAAAAAAAACATAAAAACACCATGAATGAATCAGACATTTGCACATCTCTAAATTACCATAGCTGTGAACAAGACATTCAGTTTCTTACCCTCTTCCCGCGCGTGCAGTGAGAATTGCGATGAATGGGTATTGCGAATGCGATTAACAAGTGATGCGAAAACGCACTGTGTTGTGTCATACATCATTAGTACCGACCGGGCTAAGGAGTACTGTATAAATATCAGGTATTGCATAACGTTGAATAGCTCCCCTAAGGTGTTGTATATATTTTTTCAAAACAGGTATTTTCGCTGATGCAGGACAATGAAGTGAGAGTGGACAATCTGACGGTGACGCTCCCCTATGTGATTGGCGGCGTCACTATCAAAAGAATGGGCAATTCCGTGGTAAGTTATGACAAAAGTTTCACACCAAACAAACAAACTATGACGTTTTTGGGACTTTTTTATTTGATGGGTAATAATACACACATACCTGTGTTATGTGCCGACTGATCACCGCATATTGATATGCTAAATATAGTGCAGTTAGTGGAGCTCAAGATGGTGAAATGAACAATAAGTAAACTTTCTGGTTTCACATTACAAACAAACAAAATAATAATCAAGAAATGAATGGTCATTGTAGTGTATATAATATATTACATTTTCAAAGTCGCCCATTCTAGTGGTTGATTCGATTCTAGGCAGAAGTTCACTTTCAATATTTAATTGCTTCAGACGAACTACAGCAGACGAATCTGGATTCTCAAGTTTACGGACAGAAAGTTTTCTCGCAAATAAAATGTGCTTTTTACTGATTAATCTTTTTTTCTCAGGTTCTTATCACCGATTTTGGATTGCGAGTTAAATGGAACGGCGCATCTCTTGCCGAAATAGGGTTGCCACACAACTATAGACCACCACGTG